AGAGAGAGATTTTCTTAAAAGAATTTTTATCTGAAATTCTGTCATATTCTGTATTCTGTTATAAATAAAAAATCCACCATTAGTATTAAGTCTGACGTTAAATAACATCTCGTGCATTAAAGATTTTCTTCGAAAATTTAAAAGCTCTTTCATTTTTGCGGCTTATGTCATCTGAATAATATTGATTCTTCATTCTTCACTGAACAGTTCCTCGTGAATTGATAATCAATCATTGCTCCAGTTGTGATATTCACTTCCATTATCCGCCTTCTTGCTAATCGCTCATTAGTCCTGTTATTGTCTTCAGGCGGCGACATTTGTCTGGCCCTTCTGAGGCTAAGGTAAGCCTCGTGCGCGAGAGAAGGACAGACCGATATTCACCGGGATGCGTCTGTAATAGGTATTGTCAAGTCTGCGAGGGTCTAGCGAGTCGACAAATGACTTCTGTATTCTGTCAGCGAAATGAATAACGTCGCGCGCGTTACATATGGGGCGCGCGCGAACACTTGCCAAGATCAGCCGAAAAAGATGGTCCGGGACGCTAACGCCTCCGTGCCACTCTCGGCATATTGAAAGGAATCGCGCTTTTACGTGAAAGGGAGATATATTACCGGGAAATCCGCGTTACCGAGCGTCGCATATCGAGCGCGAAGGTTGCCGTCGTCAAAAGCCCGCTTGCAAGGGAGCGAACACACCACGTGGCATCCGGCCTGGAGAACGCTTCTTCTCTTCCCGCTTCCTCCGTTTCCCTTCAGTCACCCTCGGAGGAAAGTGTCGTTCGCGATACTCGACCATTTTTGGGGGTATTGTTACAATGACATGTGAATCAATATATATAAAATATCGCATTTTCGTCGCGGAAAAGTCTACTATAAATCGATCGAATTTTCTATTGATAAAAAAGAATATAGAAAAATCGAGGGATGTTATATGTAATTTCTTTATGGTGTTATTCTTGCACAGTCAGCTTTGCCAAATCGTTTCTTTAGAAAAATCTGTATCTAAGAAGAGGAAGAGGATAAATACAAAATTATCGGAGATAAGAAGGAATTGTCGGATTTGCGTATTTCTACTTCTAAAGTTCCTGATCTCGAAGTCACTTACTTTCTGTTTTTTAAACGAGCAATATGCTTTTTTCTCTATATTTCTGGCGACAAAGACCGCGTTCCCCGTTAAATAGATCGTTAAACGTAAAAAGAGGGAATTCAAATCAGTTTGAGATCGCGGAAAACGTTCCTCGTTTCGTGTTACCTCGCTCTCGAATCGTTCTCGAAGGCGGGCGTCGCGTAACAATACCTGATAAAAATCGATTTAACTGAGAACGATGAACATTGCTCCGTTCCAATTCGCGTATGCTAATGAGATCTAATCTCCGTGTCTTTTTTACCGAACGATCGTCCAATAATTCCGCGTTATCTCGAATAATTTGCTATTACGTAATGTCGCATGTTTAACTAGTTTCATTCCGAATGACTTTCACGCCGCGTTTTCGCCTACGAGCTTCGTTGAAAATAATCACTGACCCAGAAAAATGTTATAACGCTTTCATTGTTTTATCGTGGAAAGCACATTTCTTTCGTGAATATCCTGTTCTTTCTTTCTCTGACTCCTATTGAAAAAAGTATTAATATCTGATTTTTGCTTCCCTTATTTTCGATAATAATTTTCCGAATCTAATCCCGTATTATCCGTTGCGCTAAATAAAAACTGTAATTATTATGCAATCAATATTCATATCACAATATTTCAAAAATACGCGTATTTTATTGATGCTTTATTATTATTCTGTTTTACAGAGAATTAAGGGCAGATCCAAAAATGCATATTTAAATGCATATTTAAATGCATATTTATATTTATTTTAAGAACTTATAAAATTTTCTCAAATTTGTAATGTGTATATAGAATCTTCTTTTGGCTAAAAGTCAATTAGCAAATATCGTATATGTGCACGTTTAATTACGGACGAGCGGATGCAAAAATTTCTCTTATTACATTCGGATTAGTCCGAATCGGAGCCAGAAGAGCTTGTTTCCATTATACTTCATCCATTGCTTTTAAATCGCGGCCGAACTTTTCACTGTATTCTTTAATGAAGATTCCTTGGAATTCTTCTAACGGTTACTTTACGCTACCTATAAGAAATTCACTTGGCGTGTCTACTTTTTCGCCGACTTTACAATTAAAGTGTATTTATTGCAGACTTTATTCTTGCCGTAAACGATGCATTTGGTTGTTTTATCCTATACTTTTCCTTGAAACTTTCCATCCACTTTATTGTACGCTGATTGATTTGCGTTTTTATGTATATTATTATATCTAATTAACCAAATTAAAAGAATAAAATAAAAAATAAGTTCATGCGTGATAGTTTTAATTCCAGTATTACTGGACAAACGATTGGTCAAATTATAAATTTATTGTTCAATGTTAAAAGCAAATCAACATTATTTACATTAAAGCAGTTAATAAATAAAATATTTTCGAAATAAATATAGATATATTGTACATAGAAATAATGAAATTATTTAGATAGCATTTTGTTCAGAGTCATATTTTGTTATTCGGAAATGTAATAATTAATAATTTTCAAACAATTTCTCAATTTTTAAATGTATAGCCAATTCGACAGGTGTTTATATAACGTTGCTTATTTTTCAGAGGATCTGAAATTTACATTTCATTTTATATTTTACTAAACCCGTTACACCCCCCTCTCCCCCATATTTCGTATCAGTATTCCTCATCGGTTCGTAAACACGATCGAACGGCAGATCTCGCGATAATCTACTTTCTCCGTGACATTGAGCTGCCAAAGAATTGAAGCGAAAGTAAAGCCATACGTGACACTCGCCTTTATCTTCAAGAAACCCTAAGAAAAGGAAAATAACGCAATCGGAATTTGCCGGGGTTGGCAGTGGTGGCGGCGGCGAGGTCCGCCGTGCTATCGGGAAAATTTTAAATCACGTCCAAGATAATCGAATTCCACGCCGCGAGAAGACGCACCACGTTCGCCCGGACGTTATTCACCCTTTAATGGTGAATTCGCACCCTCGTCCCCAACGTCCTCTCCCTCTTCCTTTTCTCTTTTTCCTTTTGGCGCGCCATTTACGCATCGCTGCTATGGGCGACAGGCCCGATCTCGTAAAGAATGCAAAGGTACCCCCGGGGAAACATCCCGGAGTACGTTCTCCGGACCGTATCGCTCGTAAATTGTGCCGTCCATCCTGATTCCGTGCTACGGCGAGAACCACGCGATCATCTCATCTCCATCGCCCGGCGTCCTGTCTCTACTACGTGCTGACATTCTAACCTTAGGAGCCACGAAGTCCGGCAGTGGCGAAGGAACGCCGATATTTATCGACCTGCCAAACGTGCCCCTGATAGATAAGTATAAGGTAAGGTTTTCGGAGGCTGAATTATTAATCGGCGTATATTCCTTTTTTTTCCTGCAATATTCGAGGTAAAATGTGTGGCGAGGAAACGTATTAAATGTGGTATTATGCATGATCCTGTACAAACCTTCTTCGTACTACTTGCAAACAGCGGGGGGCCACATGGGTTATTCTACATCCGTGTATTGGGATTGTCTAGTATTAACGTGGATATTTGACATTGATATGGATGTCAAACATCTATATCAATACACCGACAGTATTGATCTAGATGTTTGACATAGCTGTATGCCTTGGGTATCTATGTTGCAAACATTATTATGGCGTATCCCGAGGTCCGAAAAAGCACGTCCTTATTTATTTTCTGCCGCTCCTTATTGACTTTCATTCACCAAGTATACAGAGCGCCCCGAATCAGTATAATTCAACAATATACCCTCGGATCAATTTGGAACTGTTTTACGTAGACGGAAGGGACGGGATTTGACATCGAGCAAATCTTATCAATATTCTATTGCTTCATAATCACCAATTGTGCGCTTCAAAACAGCTCAATTTAAATGGTATTACTAATTACGGTACTTACTAATTATCGACTTCCCCTAGACTTGCGTGAGAGGCTAATGAGGAATTAAATTGCGCTATTGCTATTGCACAACGAGTGGATTTGGCTCTTAATACAAGACGCGCGATCATTGTTATAGCGAATATAAATCCTCCAATCAAGTATAATATCTTCTAAAGGACCGACAGCTGCGTGAGGGAATGAGAGGCTATTTTATGACTAAAGCTCGGATAGACCCATATTCTCTCAATGCGGCGGGCCGACGAACTCCGACCGAGCGAATATCTCTCATCTCTATATCGACAAGCTCTCTCACTCTCTCGTTCCCTCCTTCCCTCCTTCCTTTCGGCAACTCACTCGTCGCCGGTTCGCAAAACGGATCTAGAAAAATGGCCATCGGGTTTTCTATTATCCCGATAAACATCTCACCGGCGGTTCCGGGCGGTTTGTCAATAACGCAGTGGGTATAATACAGTGGAGGTGTTCGTCGGATCCTCTTTAGTAGTAAGTGAAGGCAAATGCAATATCGCGCGGACCGCCCGGGATTACATGTCCTTCAAACACACGCTCAAGTTTCTATCCTATTAACGGATCGAGAGTTCATCTATCTAAGTTAGCGCATCCGTGTCATTGTCGCCGTAAGACGATTAATTCCAATGGAAGGCGTTTGGAAACTGCCGAATCCTCGTTACACGCCCCGAGCGTGCGCGCGCGCGCGCGCGCACGATCTCCGTATCCCCGCGACAATTCGTCGAAAATTCTCATGAATATTTTAAAGCACACTTTTCCGCACGTAATCGCGCCATAACGATACGTCGTTATTATTATTATCGTTGCTCGCGGCTAATTGCGCGCTGTAATTATCATATACCGCGCAAATTAAAAAAAAAAAACAAAAAAAAAAAAAAAAAACGTCAGTGCCCTGCGGCGCGAACACGTCGTGTATTCACTGACGGATCGAGCGAGCCGGGGGGGGGGGAGGGGGCGGGAGACGAATTTTTATCGCGGTGCGCCCCGCGTGGATACGAATGGATACTTACATTTCATGTCCACGCGGACTGACGACGACAACGGGATCGACCTATTGTTATTCGTGGCGTTGCAGGTCAGCAACGAATGGACGTCCTCCCGGCTCAAGTTCTGTATAACGATCTCGCTGCGTGTCACGCCTTTGCGCAACGTGGTCCGATTGGTGACGAATCTGTCGTTGCGATACCAAGACACCGTCGGGGCTGGCTTACCTGCAGAAATAAATACGTCGATTTTGTTTCAGCTCGGGGGAAAAATAAAGAATCATCCCGATATCGATGACGTCCCGTTCGCGTGGATGGCAGATGCGTGCCAGAGGTGTTTAATAGAGGATTGATCGATGATTTCTCTGGCTCAATAGAATTGCAACTGCCGCAACGCGTAAATTTAATGCAAGTATCGAGTATCACTCGAGACTTCATTCAAAAGCACGATGATAATGAAGAGCAATAATTACAGTCTATAATTAGCGAAGAGAGTTAACATCGTGCAAATGAAATCGATCTTTCATTACGAACGAGCATAGATAGTGTCATTAAACAATCAGTTTCAATATTATCTGCGGTCGCAGGCACGAACACTCGAATTATTTATCATAACTATTCGCATTATGTAGTATATTTGAATAATTAATTAATATAATATAATTTGTATAATACATAATCGATGAGAAACTAGATTCGGTTAACAAAGATCAGTGATTAATATTATAAAATATTAATATTATAAGATATTCTAATGTTCATTACTTAATTGAAGTATAAAATATATAAAACCTTCTTCATTTTTAATTTTTTTAATAACTTTTACTTTGTTAAAAATAATATTGAATAAAATTTTAATTTACTTAAGTTATGCATTTACTTAAATTATATTTAATCTTGAGTCTGTCAAACATTTTATACATTTATAGAACTAAAGTTATTAATACTGGAAAATTGCATAAAAACTTTATAATAACGTTTTTAACTTTATAATAACGGAAAATATTAATACAGTAATATTAATCGTTACGAATGTCAATATTATAGAGAGAGAGAGAGCTATGAGATATATAAATACTATTAATATATATAAATATTACTCAAATATTATTTGCAAATATGTTTTGTAGCATACGAATATTTATTATATGTAATATTATTTATAATATAATTAACAGCTATCATTTATAGATAAAATAGATGGATGTTAATATGCGTAATTAATATACATTACGAACGTAATTTGTATTCCAAATCTTACGAGTCAATTAACAAATGAATAATATAACGTCAAGATGATTAGGTCATAAGTGACAGACATAATTATTGAAACGTAATCGCGTAAAAGTAAAAATTTTCAATTTTTATATTTTTAGAAATAAATTTGTTCGCACAGCTTACTAAATAAAAAAAAGATCTCAACCAGAATATCCTTTTATTTCATTCTTTTTGACAATCGACTACAGGACACAACTACAAAACCCGCATTGCGGAACACAAAAATTCATACAGTTTTTTCGGAGATAAAAAGAATTTCGTCATAATATACATGCACATTCCGATTTACGATACTCACCGCCACGGACGTCGCAGAAGAGCCGCAGTTTGTCGCCCTCCATATACGGCCCGACCAATTCGCCCTGCTCGTTCATGTTCTCGTCGACGATCGTGATCTTGTGCGGCGGCACTGGAAACGAATAGAAATGTCGATGTAGTTAACGCCAAGGAATATTCATGATACGAAAGCTTTTCTGGTCGCGTTGCCACAACCCGCCGCGTACGGAGGATTGTCCTGGGCGCGCGACGCGGAGGAAAGCTCGGCGGCACGTCACGAAAAGTTCGATAACACGAAATTGGTATTGGAAGATCGTGCCTGAGATATCGCGACGGCATTAAATTGAAATCTGAAATCGATATCGGACGCCGCGAAAGCCCACGTCACGATGTATTTCTGACGGGCGTATGTACTGGATGATGCGTTCGCGCGGCGGCAGCGGCGACGGCGGCGGCGGCGGTGGCGGCGGCGGCGGTGGCGGCGGCGGCGGCGGCGTGCTTTTGCTCTTCGAGTCTAGAAGCTGGGAATTGTCGCGATATCAGATATCGGACGGACGTGAAGTTTACTGGCGAGCGGAACTTAAAATAATAAGAAGGGGATCACGGGAAACTAGCACTTTTATCGTTTCCTCTCGAGCGCGTGCGAATATTTTTTTTTTAATTTTCTCACGTAAATTAGTTTATTCGGACCCTTTCGCGAAGAGTTCACGGGAAAATCAGATTGCGACGCTCGGGACGTTTGTGTAAAAAGAGAGCCACTCGGCGGACGGAATTCTCAGGCGATGTAATTGGAAAATTACAATCGCAAAAATCACGCCGGAAGACATTCAAGAACGCCACCTCGTTTTAGCTTATTTTTCTTCCTGGCGGCTTCTTTCGCCGCATAAAGAATTATTTTGGTTCTGCACTTGGAGTGGAATGGCATTTTACTCTTATTCCAATCTTCTTTCATGGTGCATCAAGCGCGTCAGTCGGGAACTTTTGAAATCAAAAACAAACTTGGCGAAATATAGTCGTTTTCTTTCAGTTTACATCAAATGCATTATTGCTACTATCTAGAAAAAGGAAAATTTACGGATATATTATCGGATCATTCTGTTTTAATATTATCCTCTATAATTTTAACTTCACTTTTCTTTATTGATGTACACGTATCACTGTGTGCCAACATTGTGATTAAACTTTCTTCTGTTACAATGATAAAATAAATATACTTGATTTCACAGATGTGAAAAGTGTTCTTAATGTATCTTTAGACTTGTTATTGCGAATATTCCGTCTTCTTCTCTCTCCTCCTCTCTCTCTCTCTCTCTCTCTCTCTCCCCCTTCTTCCCTTTCTCAAGGACTTCTCCTCCCTTCGTCCCTTCTTGGTCCGCATTTCCGTAATCCTGACAAATGGTATGCGGGGAAGCATCATTTATCGGTATTAGCCTTTGTAGTATTTGCAGTATCATAGTCCCTCTGCGTAATACGTTACGTATTTCGATTGCCTCTCTCGCCAACGCAAGGAGAAGGAGCATGATGTACCTACCACTCGGCGTCGATGTCGGTCGCCGGCGTTCGCGACCTCTTTTTAAAGGCGCAGAGTCCCTCCGTAAGGACGCCCGATGCAGTAGTCTAGCGGCGCAATAGCGCGGCGCGCCATTAATCCGCGACAGGTCTGACAGTGGCGCACCTGCACTACTGCCGTTATTTATTTCCGTGGAAACTGCCGCGGCTGCTCTATACTGACGAGAATTATCGTGCTTTAATGAAACCGATCCCTCCGGTAAAACTCAATTTATTATCCGGCTCGCGCGCGCTTTCACGTCCGACTTCGCGTCGGCCACTTTCTTTCCTCTAATTATCCGCCGCGTTTAGCTAAAAGCTAAAACTCGCGCGCGCGTGCACACGGCGCGGTCGGAACCGCGCCGCGCGCGAGATCATTCCGCCCCCTCCTCCCCCCTCCCTCCTTCGCCGCGCAATCATTTTTCATACATCCCATTTTACCGCGCGGAAATACATTTCTTCGAAAATAAAGCGAGTCCCGTCTCGGCCGGACGGGGAAAACTGACGATGATTTTCGTCGTTAACGGCGATCGTGATTAACGTAAAAATAGATCTCGCATTAGCAGACCGGCAGCCTGGAACGATTAACGCGCGCAATGTTGCGCCATTAATATTCCCGTCTCTCTCTTTTTCAATTACTAAGGCGCGACATAACTTTCTTAGAATTATGAATGCCACCAGATATTTACGGTTATGACGATACAGCGGTCCGCTGGAACTATCTATTTAACTCTGGGAAAATGTCGCGCGCGCAGAAAGAAATTGATTTCGCATTAAGCTTTATCATATTTTTGTAATAAAACATAGTATCTTTATGGCGTTCTACGTTTAATGAATCTACCTATCTTGCACAAAGTACATGTTGCATCCACGTTAATGTACCTTAAGTCGATCGAGAAACGTGCTTGGAACACTTTGCGGTCGACTATGTTGCATACAGTTAATGCAAAGCTCAGAGCCGATTATACGAGAAATTTTCCGTAAAGTATCAACATGATGCAGTTATTAGTCTGTACAAAGTCTGTACCAAGTATGGTTTTGGATTTGAGTTTTGAACGCAAAACTCCCCTTCTTTGACGTTCGGATGCACGATAAGGCCTTTCAAATATCAAAATTTAACACAGGCATCCATTCTCTTTCTCCGATGTTCCCAATACATATCCAAGTTTTTGTAGAAAATTCTATCTCGCAAATAATTATTTATTAAATTATATAATTAAGTAAAATGATTAAATAGACTTAGATCATGCGTTTCTCTTCTCTCACAAATTTCTTCGCAGGTTTATCTTTTAATATGATATAAATTTTATCCCTCTCTTACTCTCAGCGCTGATTTACCGTTGGCCGTTTTTATTTCATTCATAATTGTATTACTGTTCTTTATTATTGGAATTTTAACGGTATATCCAGAAACGTACTTTCGCAATTTACAGTTCGGTTTACATTTAGTTTTACATTTCCACCCGACAATTTCGCTCGGACACACCACACACCACACACATACACACACACACACACACACACACACACACCACACACACACACACACACACACACAACACACACACACACACACACACACACACACACACACACACACACACACACACAACACACACACACACACACGCGCGCGCGCGCGCGCGCGCGCGCGGTTGATCAGACGCGCATTTCGCTCGCGAGCTCGCGCACTTCGCGCTACCAACGGACTGGTCAGATTTATTGTTTATAAAGGCTCTTGATTTCGGGGACATCATCAGCATCGAGAGCGCCAGCGAATCGGGGGTGAGGCGGGGAGGGTGCGACTGAGCACGGGAAAGTCCGAAACTGTTTTTCGTGATTAATGTCGCGTTGGGTGGATGGGGAAGAGTATTAACGGATGGCCGAGCCATCGGGTGGTAATTGTCGTGCCCGCAGTTACGCTGGTTAATTTGAGCCGCCAAAAAGTTACTTCCGCCTTTCGTTCCCGCCGTGATCATAAAAAAATTTTACTGCGGTTCGCGTGCTGCTCCTGCCGCGCAAATGAAGCCTGTGCGCTAACGGCGACCGAGCGCCGCTATATCAGCGTGCGGGATTTGATTTCGTACTCGAACTTTACGTTGCCGTCGTCCGCGAAGTTTCGACTCTGATAAACTGGTGTTTCGACGAAATAAAATACCGCGACTGTGCGCGAGCGGTATAAAGGGTTTTAAAATCGAAATCGCACGCCATAAGTCGTCGGAGACTCGTCGTAACTGCGGCGTAATAGTTTTTTGGAGGGGGAGGGGGGGAGCTCCGCAAGTAGAATTTCGAAATGCCGGTATTACGAGTTTAATTGCGCTCGATTATTACGAGCGATAGACTCAATTTTCTGATTGTAATTAGACAGATGTAAGAGATTACGATACGATCGAAAATGAGAGCGTAATATTTTCTATCTTTATATGAATAATTTGCATACGATGATGTGCCATGAATATATATATTTTTTGACTTTATCACGCAAGCTTTTTTATTATATGTCTATATATTTCTATCGGGATCAACTTAACGAACCGTTTTTATTCTCAAATTACGATCGCAATTTCCGCTTTTGTCATTGCAGATGACAAAATTACTTCGGTCGCCGCCCCATCGGTATGCATGGTATGCGACACGGCGCGATGAAGTTCAGTCACAACGATTTTTTAATTTTCGATGCGTGACAACAGGCCGATTAGACTGCTAGTCATATAAACTGCGTCACGGGGGACGCGTAAAATTGCGCTCGTGATTGAAAAATATTTCAGCAGGAAATATACAGAGGTATTCATGGACAAAAGTACGCTTTTTATTCATAAAGCGACGGCGGCTGCGAAAAAATAAAGCGTCTGCCGACGTCGTGCGAAAAAAAAATTGGGTCGGTATATGTGCGCGCGCATTCTCACACACACACACACACACACACACACACACACACACACACACACACACACACACACACACACACACACAAAATACACATATAAACAAATTTTTGCTACTACCCTGATCGTAATAAGTGTCTAAGCCTAATTCTAAAAACTCAACGTTGCTTCTTCATGTAATCTTTTAATCTAGCAATATTAGTTTTTAGGTACAAGCTCTAAAATTTTTATATAAAACAAATATTGACGCGACTTGACAGCTTTGGACGCCATTTTAAGGTGCCAAATGGTAAAAAGATCTAAATTTAAATTTGTCTCGTTCTTGATATG